CCTATGCAAAGGTCCTGAGGCGGGAGGCCCTTGGGGGAACCGAAAGTTCACAGCACCCCAGGGCCAGAGGGTACCAGGTGCATGAGCCTCTAGAGATAGAAGAAGTGTGAAATAATCTAAATGTCCAGCCCCTGGGGATTGGTTAAGCAGACTATAGTATTCGACTGCAACAATTTTATGCACTTGTCCCAAATGAAATTTACAGACACTGGTTATGGGAGAAACCAGTTCATGGCATGATGGTAAGTGAAAAATGGAAAGCTGCAAAGCTGTATAGATCTGGAGTTTTCCAAAAACAAAAAAAAGTAATAATAATAATCATAATAATAGTAGTAATTATAACCAGCACAATCCATTTATATGAGAAACAAATGCGCCCTCAAAAATACAAAAATCCCCCTGCCAAAATTTCACAGCCCTTGTCCCAATGGCGATGGGCTCCTGGATGATATTTCTTCTTCCTGCTCTTTGGCATTTACAATATTCTATCCGAAAAAATTTTTTAATGTTTAGCAAAGAGTGAGAAAAGTTCCCTGCCACCTCCTGTCCAGATAGCAAAATCCCAACGAGGTTTCTGGAGTTGTGCTTTTCTGAGGACGGCCCTTTTTTTGTTCAAATCTCAAATAAACAAAAGCCCGTTTGGCAGAGGGCCCTGGCGGGTGGTCATTCACCCTGCGCACCCTCCCAGCACCAACACCGCAGCTAGGACAACAGCGAGGGTTTTCACAGGGGGCCCCGTGGGCAGGGGGGCTCTGGAACTCTTTCTAAGCCTCGGGAACTCGTCCCAAATAGTTTCTTCTCCACCAGGGACCCTCCCTTTCCTGTGGCTCAGGGTCAGCCCTCCTCCCACACTCTTGCCTTGGGCCAGTGCATCCCCCAAGAGCCCTGACCAGCCCTGAATTCCTGGGGCCTGGGAGCCCAGAATCTTCCATCTTAAAGACCACACAGTCCAAATTACAAGGAGACTGAGCTCTGAGAGGGGACGTGAGTTGCCCAGGGACATCCAGGAAGCTGGACCTCCTCACGAGGACCATTCATCTAACATATATGCATTAATTAAGCACCTACTATGTGCTGGACACAGCTCTAACCACTGGGGATATAGCCACAGGGTTATGTGATAAGATTCAGGGGTTGGGGGAGCAACTCTAGCCTGGGGTGGTGGGGCGGGGCGGAAAGGAGAAGGACTCTCTGAAGAGGTGACAACTGAGCTAAGATCTAAATGAGCTTGCCATGCAAACAGCCAGGGAAAGAGTGTTCCAGAAAGAGGGCCCGGGAGGGAGGGCCAGGTAAGAAAGGTCATTTTGAAAATCAGTGTCAGGCAGAGCCTCTCCAGAAAGGAAAATGGGTCCACTCCTATGTGGGACAGAAAGTCACTAGAGGACTTTAGTGACCCTTCTAGAAGCTCCCTCAGGGCACCCAGTGGAGAATAAATTGTGGAGGGCAAGAGTAGAGGCCGGGGACCAAAAAGTAGCAGCCTGCGGCCTCCTGGGTGGGAGATGGGGGGTGGTCTGGACCCAGTAGGTGACAGGGGGGATAAAGAGGAAAGACAGTGTGACTTGAGACCATCCACATACAAGGGAGGAAGAGCATGAACCCCACCCCCAACATGAAGTCAGGGGGAATCACAGCCAAAGGGATCCCAGAAAAACATCATTTCAACCCACCCCCACCAATGCAGAAGCAGTGAGCATGCTGGGCCTACTAATCCAACACCAGCCCAAAGTGCAGGGAGTCAGAGAGACCTGGGTTCAAATCCCAATTCTACGCTTACTAGTTGCAAGGCCTTATAAGTCAATTCCCTTCCCCGAGCCTCAGTTTTCTTGCCTGTGGAATGCGGAGAATGATGCCAAAACCAGCCGGACCTGGAAGGCCCCAGCACAGTACCCAGTGCGGAGTGGCTCCCTTCCTCTTTACTTCTGTCTTCGGGTCTGATGCCTGCCTGCAATGCCCATTTGAGTTCAATCGCCCCGAAGACTAGTTTTTTTTGTTTTTTTTTTTAAAGATTTTATTTATTTCAGAGAGTGAGAGACAGCACAAGAGGGAAGAGGGTCAGAGGGAGAAGCAGACCCCCTGCTGAGCAGGGAGCCCGATGCGGCACTCGATCCCGGGACTCCAGGATCATGACCTGAGCCGAAGGCAGTCGCTTAACCAACTGAGCCACCCAGGCGCCCCCGAAGACTAGTTTTGAAGAACTGCCATGAATAGTGACTTTCTTCCCAAAGGATCACATGAAGCAGAAATGAGAAACCTTCCCACTGAGGGGGTTTGGAACAGAGATACCCTAAAAATAACAAGCGCACTACCAATTCTGGGACTGGAGCTGCGGCGGGGGTCTCGACTGTCCTGGGACCCACAGACGGGACCGGGCTGGGCAGGGCAGGGCCAGCCGTGCATATCCCCCTCCTGCCCTGGGCGAGTGGAGCGAAGACGAACACGACTCAGGGTTCAGAGGCTGTGAGGTCAGGCTCAGATTCAGGCTCAGCTTCAGAAAAAAGTCACTCCCCCGCCCCGTGCCTCAGTTTCCCCACTTGTAAAGCAGAGAGAAGGAGCCCAGCCCTGCGGGAGTCTGGAAGCTCGGCTGCCGGGGAATGCCTGCACAGGCCGGGGGCCCCGTGCCCATCCCCGGAAGCAGGATCCCTCCACCGTGCGCGGAAAGGCACCTCTGCGGATGGACTTGCGTTAAAGATCTAGAGAGGCGAGGAAGACTCTGGATGATCTGGGTGGGCCCTAAATGCAATCATGCGTGTCCTTGTAAGAGGAGACCTGCCTACAGGAAAGGCCAAATGACAGTCTCCGCAGAGACACTGGAAGGTGCTGAGCTGTTGGCTCTGGAGATGGAGGAAGGCCAGGGGGCGGGGGGGAAAGGGGGCAGCTTCTAGAAGCTGGAACGGGCAAGGAAATGGACGCTCCCCCAGAGCCTCTGGAGGTGGCCGATTTCTACTCAGTGAAACTGACTGCGAACTCCTGACCTCCAGAACTATGGCAGAATCAACTTCTGTTGTTTTGAGCCACGATTCATGGCGGTTTTTTACAACAACCCAGAGGCCTTCACAACATGCCAAGCCAGAAGGACTGGATCAATATTTATAGCCAGATGTGGTGCTGGGCTAAATGAGGATTTCTGCAGGTGGAGCCCAGACGTGGGTGGATTTTAAGAACTCCCAAGAGAGATGTCAGGGTTCATGCAGGGGTGACAAGCACGAGTCTGGGAGCTGGGGGGCTCAAAGGCACAGCCACCCCATACGCAGGCTCCCCAGGCTCCTTCCCGGAACTGTGACCACCTGTCACTCACAGGCCTCCCGCCAGGACCCTGCGCACTTGAGGGCAGGGGTCCCGCTCGTCACCCTTAACTCATCAACGTTAGGTAACAGCCAAGCCCCGTGGATACAAAAGTGAACAAGACACAGGCCCAACACAGACCAAGGAGGAAGGCCAGCGGCAGGCCCTGAGCACTAGACCCCTGGGGATTGGGGGGCATCTGCCTGGCGGCTCCGGGAGACCAGAGGAGGTAGGACCAGAAGCTGCTGGAGGGAAGTGTCTGCAGGGGAGACATCTGAGCTAGGTCTTGAAGGAGACACAAAATCCCACTGCAGGGGTCTGCCATCCCCAACCCTGTAGCTCCAACCGCTTCCAAAAGCCCTAAAGGCCCTGCCCGAGGGCTTCCCTCTACCCTGGGGGCCGGGGTGCCAGACAGGCCAGACGCGGCCAGGAGCTAACCCCCCAGAAGCGGAGTATACATACCCCAGCTCCCCCGCACCCTCAGGGTGATGACTGAGGTGCCCATTCGACACGGTCCCCGGAGGTCCCCCGTGGCGCTGAGGCCCTGTTGCCCACGGAGGTGACCTGCTGATGAACACACCCAGCAGCGGCCTCTTTCCCCGCCCTGTCCGGCTTCCCCAAGCCCTGGGCAGCCTTTCCTGGGCCCACCGCCCACACACAGCATAGGCAATGGAATCAGCAATGGAATCACTGTGCCTGGGTCTGCTCTGGGGAAGCCCAAGGCCAAGCAGATGATGTATTCCACGCAGAAGACAAAACGTGAGGAGAGGCCCATGGCACGAGAGAAGGACGTCAGAGTGATCACCCACAGCCCCGCTGCCGCCACCATGAGCAACCCCACGTGTCGGGCACTGCTTTCAGCAAGACACCTCGTCCTCCCGTTACTAAAGGAAGGTGCTATTGCCACCCTCGTTTACTTTCAATCAGGGCAAGTGAGCTCAGAGAGGGCAAGTCTTCATAAAAATCTAAAACGGCCTCACCGCTCTCCCCTTCGCTCATTAGACTTCAGCCACACACACTTTGCTGTTCGTTGTACACGCCACCACCACCCGCCTTCCCCCCCCGGAAACTGCCTACCCCAGGACCTTTGCCCTTGCTGTTCCCACAGCCTGCAGCAAGGGCCTGCCTCCTCCACCTTCAGTTCTCTGCTTAAAAATCGGAATGATTTTTAAATCATTGGAAAAAAAAAAAAATTGAAAGGAGACTACTTCGTGACACATAAAAATTCTATGAAAATCAAATTTCAGTGTCCATAAAGAAAATGGGAGTGGAGCAAGCACTCAGTTACATATTGTGCCTGGCTACTCAGGTAGTAAACGGCAGTCAGTTGTGATGGGGCTCTTCTGGTCCAAAAACCCAAAAATATTTACTATCTGGTCCTTCACAGGAGAAGCTGGTCGACCCCTACCCTAGGGTGTGGGGCCTTGTCTGTCATTCCCATGGATGAGTCCCTGGGGCCTGAAAAGGGCTAGGCCCAAGCAGGTGCACAAAGAAGGAGTGGATGATTAACATAAGGCCCCACCCCCAAGAGGGAGTTGCACATCACCTAGGATCACAATGGGTGGATGGATGAATGAATGAATGAATGAATGAATGAAATGAATATATGTACCTCAATGGGAAGTCACAGGCATCATCCCTGTGGCCCAAAGTCCCTCCATGGAGTTGCAAACCAGATTCTGATATCCCCTGGGCGGGCGTCCCTCCAACAGCACCAGCCTGGCCTTGACATTCTGTGGGCCTAGAACTCTAAAGAGAGGACGTGATTCATTCCACAGAGCCTTTTCACCAGGAGAGGAAGGAAACCAGCCCTCAGATCCGGAACCAAATTTAACTTCTCTGCTCCACAACCCCCACCCCCAAACACGCAAACACACAGAGCATCTCTCCACCTTGCTGGGGAAGGGGTCCATCTCAGCAGCCAGGGGTGGGGGAGGTCATCAGCAATTACTGGGTCAGCTTTCTCCTGAAGGAGCACCCCACCGCTCTCTCAAAACACAGTTGGAGAAAAATCCTCAACGGAAAGAGGGTATTCCAGAGTAATTCCTCCCTCCTCCTGGCTCTCAGCACTGAGACAAAGGGGGAGTTAAAAAAAAAAAACAAAAACAAGAGACTAAGCAGGAAATAAGGGCCTTGCCCTGCACAGGGGATTTCTGATCCAGCAAATAAGCATCCTTATTAGCATCCTCAGTACCTGGGAGACAGTGCCTGATTTATGTGTCACGTCCCAGTGGGGGGACATTGATATATTCACTCTGTGGAATGTTACATCTGAAACAGATATGTATTTTTATTTCCCGTGAAAAAGAAAGTTCTTTTCCATGCCAATACACATCCCCAAAGTCAGAGAAACATCAGCCCAAAGGTTCTGGAACGGTCACAATTATCCTGCCATGCCCTTTGGGCCTTGGCCCGAGATTTTATCACAACCCTCCCAAATGCTCTCCAGTGGACACATCAGTGTTTACTGTTCTTCGCCTGCTTTTTCTCCTGCGGAGCTCGGTTCTGAGTGAGGAGGATCATAGCAACTCAGAGATACAAGGGAATTAATTCCATACTCACTAAGTTGCTAAGGCTACTTTATTACCAGCCTGCAGCTAAACCTTCTCTTGGCTGGGCAAATAATTCAGCCCAGGCAGGAGTGTGTGTATAAAAGCAGTGTTTCCTGTTCCAGGGCATGGTCCCTGCCCCAGAATCCCAGCTGTCTTTCAAGGACCAGGGACCGTCGCATCCACATGTGGTGAGCATTCACAAGACAGAAAGCGCTGGCAAGGACCCCGAGTGCTCTTCATCCTAGCTGTGTGACCCTGGAAAATCTGCTTGCCCTCTCTGAGTCTCCGTTTCCTCCGGAGTATTAGTCCTGCCCTAGCTACCTGCCAGGAGGTAAATGTGCTCAGGGGTAAGCTTTAGAGCACGCACACCGTCAGTCACTGCCATGCACCTTCCCAGGCTGAAGTCAGATGAACTTTTCCCAAAGAGAATCCAATCACATCGTGCCCCCTTGCCTGGATCTTCGGAGGGGCTCAGAATTAAATCCATCCCCTTTCCATGGCTCTGTGCCTGGCCCCCCAGTCTCTCTGCCCTCAGCCCCCAACACTCCCCTTGCCACTCTGCTCCCGTCACAATGGCCTCTGCCGTACTTGCACGGGAAAGCCTTCGCACATGCTGTTCCCTCAGCCCGGAAGGACACTCTCTCCCCTCCCCCTCACCCCCGCCAAACACACATCCTTTAGGTCTCAGTCTTAACGGCCCTTCCTCAGTGTGGTGGGTTGAATAGTGAGTGTCCCCCCCCCCAAATTCATGTGCACCTGGAATCTTAGAAGATGACCTTACTTGGCCTTTGCAGATCTAATCAGCTCTTTACTGAGGTCACACTGGATTGGGGGGAACCCTAATCCAATGACTGGTGTCCTTTGAAGAAAAGAAGAGACAGATATACAGATAGGAGCCAAGACGCACCGAGAATTGCTAGAAGCCACCAGAAGCTGCAAGAAAGAAAGGTCTTCCCCTAGAGCCCTGGAGGGAATGCAGCCCTGCCAACACCTTGATTTTGGACTCTGAGCCTTCAGAGTGTGAGAGAATAAATGTCTCTGTTCTAAGCCACCCAGAAAAGCCGGAGCCAAGCCCTCTGAGAAACTACCTCCACCAGACTTTCTTGAAAGCATCCTGCTCCTCTCCCCCCACCCCTGCAAGGTTCTGCCCCCTCCCCCCATCAGCCCATAAACTCCTAGAGAGAAGGGATGCTGCCTGCAGCAAACAGCTTGGCTCCTGGACCACAGCAACCAACCGGTGGTACTTCCCAAATGAATTCATTTGACAGACGCACCAAGGGAAGCTCAGAGATCAAGGGACTCACTCAAGGTCACATGTCAAGAAGAGGCAGGGACCAGCACCCAGACCACAGGCCTCCATGCCGGGGATCCCAGGAACCAGGACGCTGATGCCCAGCCCACGGGGACTTGGGCCCTGCAGGAGACGCTCTCTCTCCCTCCTGACTCCCAGCAGCCAGGCCCGCGCCCTCTGGGCCCTGCGCCGGACCAAGAGCCTCACCTCCTCGGCAGGGCCCTGTCTCAGCTCAGTGAACCTGTAGATAAACGCTTTGAACCTCTGAGGTTCTGGGGCCACCGTGGGGCAAGGGATGCCCCGGACTCAGGCTGCCCCAACAGCCACAGGTCAGTGCCGGTGATGACCAGGCAAGAGAGCGGGCCTCGCCCACTGGGACCCCCACTCGCTGCCTCCCACCCCCAGGCTCCTGCCTCACACCCTCACTGCCTGACTCTGCATTTATGAAGCTTGACAGGCACACGGTCCCAGGGCTGGACGTGACATAGCACTGACTCATGGAGGACAAGTAGGTCCGGCCGGGAGAAAGTCTCTACTGGGTCTCGGCTGTACTTAATGCTGGTGCAACACTTTTCAGTGCAAGGCCCCCCGCTCCAAGCCCATCGGGATGGCAGCATTTATGTACCTGGAACCATGACACGTTTGGTCTCCTTTGCTTGTATTCTTTTTTTTTAAGATTTATTTATTTTAGAGAGAGCGAGAGTGAGAGCGAGCAGGAAGGGCAGAGGGAAAGGAAGAGAGAATCTCAAGCAGACTCTGCACTGGCGCAGAGCCCGATGCAGGGCTCGGTCTCTTGACCCCGAGGTCACGACCTGAGCGGAAACCAAGAGCTGGAGGTTTAACTGATTGAGCCACCCAGGTGCCCCTCCTTTGTTTGTATTCTTAAAACAAACTACTGATGGCCAGAGATGCTGGTTTTCTCGATTTATAATATTTTGTACTATTAAAATATTAGGCGAATAATAACGTTGGAGGCACACAGACATGGCAAAATCGGGATGGTGTGTGAATGACAGAGCTTTGAGGGCCTCTGTACGCACTCATTCAGCCACCCACCCATGCATTCACTCGCTCAAGCCAAGATGCAGACACACACACACACACACACACACACACACGTCCCTTGAGTAGTTCTGGGATAAATCCCTTAGCTGTAGCCAGGGTCAAATAATATGTTACAGGGCCAAGAACCCATAAGAATCACCTGGGTGGGGCACCATGGGGGGATTTCTTTCTTTCTTTCTTTTTTTTTTTTTGAATGAGTTTATTTATGTATTTGAGATAAAGAGAACAAGAGAGAGAGAGAGAAAGAGAGAGAGAGAGAGAGAGAAGCATGGGGGGAGCAGAGGGAAAGAGAGAAGCAGGCTCCCCACTGAGCAGGGAGCCCAAAGCAGGACTGAATCCCAGGACCCTGAGATCATGACTTGAGCCGAAGGCAGACGCTTAACCACTGAGCCACCCAGGCGCCCTGGGATTTCTTTTTTATTACAAATGCTCAGGCTTCATCCCAGACTTACTGAGTGTGAGCCTCCAGAGGGTGGACCCAGCAGCACCTGGATTTTTTAAAGCTTCCTGGGGGGTTTCTTCGGAGTAGCCAAGCTCCGGGTACTTAGTTGCTGCTTCTTCCCCAGTGAGCCAGGAGCTGGGTCCATGGTGTCTGGAGAGCATCCTGCAAGAATTAAGACCCAGGCCTAATGCATTTCTCCCCAAAACGACACATGCCAGGGCATGCCCTGAGTCCATGAAAAACAGGTTCTTTATTATTTCCAGGCCAGCCCTTTGTGGGGCACTGGGTACATCCTGTTAAAGTTCACCATCGGGTAAAGGAGGTCAAAATATTTCCAGAAAGCACATCATGATGCAACAGACGTTTTAACAGGAACCAAGGCCCAACAAATACAGATCCTAAGACTCTCCCACAAAAACCAGGTGCCAGCCACATCTATTAGGATGGCTGGCATCAAAACCACAGAAAAGGACAAACGTTGGTGGGGACGTGGAGACGCTGGAGTCCGTGCGCATAAAATGGCGGGAACATAAAATGGCGCGGCTGCTGTGTGGACAACAGCATGGCGGTTCCCCCCGGAGAATTAAGAACAGAATTACCATGGGGTCCAGCAATCCCACGTCTGGGTATATACCCAAAAGAACTGAAAGCAAGGTCTCGAAGACACCCAGCTACCTGGGTTCATATTGCAGTTCAACCACGTGCTAGCTAGTTGGCCTTAAGTGAGGTAAGAGGTCTCTCTGTGCCTCAGTTTCCTCATCTGTAAAATGGGTATAAAAACACGGGGCCGTCAGGAGGATGAGGTTCACAGCATGTGTCCCACACACGTTGACAGCTGTATTTCCGCAGTGGTCGTGAATACTACCGTCCCCCCTCCATACCCTGCTGGAGCTCTGAGGTTCTGGAGGACACCCACGTGAAGCATATGTGGGTCCGGGGCGATGAATCTTTGGCCTTGTGGTTTGTGTAGTAACAGGTGCACTTATGAGTAAGAACCAGACTATGCGCCCCATGTGGGAGGTGCCGAGGTCAAACTCAGTGAGGACAGAGGTTGATGAGGTGCAAAATAAGATGTCCCTGCCCAGAGCCCTCTGCCCTCGGTTCTCTGGTGACGCAGGCCAGCACCCTGCCCTCTCGGGGCTTCAGCGACCTCTGCTCCTCCAGCCCCAGCCTCTGTGAGTCTGAGAACGAGAAGCCAAGCCCTTGGTCCCAACAGTCAGCACATCCGAACCCTGGGCCCCCCTGCCCGGAACCCCAGGGGTGGGGTGAGGGATGGCGGATGCCCCCAGGTGGCCACGGGGTTAAAGCACCTCTGAAACATTCAGGCCTTTCTG